TAATATATATATAATATGTAATATATATATATATATACATATATACATACATATATGTATATATATATATACACACACACCACATCTTCCTTATCCATTCATCCATCAATGGACATTTGGGCTCTTTCCATACTTTGACCATTGTTGATAGTGCTGCTATAAACATTGGGATGCATGTGTCCTTCAAAACAGCATACTTGTATCCCTTGGATAAATACCTAGTAGTGCAATTTCTGGGTCATAGGGTAGTTCTATTTTAGTTTTTTAAGGAACCTCCATACTGTTTTCCAGAGTGGCTGCACCAGCTTGCATTCCCACCAACAATGCAAAAGAGATCCTTTTCCTCCGCATCCTCCCCAACATCTGTTGTTGCCTGACTTGTTAATGTGAGCCATTCTGACAGGAGTGAGGTGGTATCTCATTGTGGTTTTGACTTGTATTTCCCCGATGATGAGTGATGTGGAGCATTTTTTTCATGTGTCGGTTGGCCATCTGGATGTCTTCTTTGGAGAAGTGTCTATTCATGTCTTTTGCCCATTTCTTCACTGGATTATTTGTCTTTTGGGTGTTGAGTTTGATAAGTTATTTATAGATTTTGGATACTAACCCTTTATCTGATATGTCCTTTGCAAATATCTTCTCCCATTCTGTCGGTTGCCTTTTAGTTTTGCTGATTGTTTCCTTAGCTGTGTTGTACATACTTCTTATGTTGTGTTATTAGGGTAGTCTAGGGGTTGTGACAGACTTTAAAGTATAGAATAGTTTGAATACTATGTTGTTTTCTTCTTGCTCATTTAAGGAATGGGTGAACAAGTTTGGGTGGAGGCCCTCTCCACTCAGATATTCAGGCACCAAGCCATATGGGCTCTCCTACCTTCAATATACAACTTTTGGGTTTGTGCTGGGGGTTGTCTTTACTCCAGCCAGCCAGAAAGAGAAAAACATATGGAGGTGCATGGGTAAGAAGTTTGTAATTAGTCCTGGAAGGGGTGTGCATCACTTCCTTTCACAGTCTATTGGTCAAGACTCAACCCCGTGGCCAACCTTCACTGCAAGGGAGGCCAGGGTATGTAGTCAAGTTGTGTCACTAGAATAAGAGAACATGAATTTGATGGACATTTAGCAGTCCCTGCTGCATCTGAATTGTATTGAAGTGAGGTTAGGATAAGCTATGGGAATCACCCTAACAACAAACACAAAGTACCCTTGAAGATCTTAAGTTGGATGTGAGTGAACTAAATCTTCTAAACCAAGTCTGACTTAATGAACCAATTAAGTCTACTCCACAGAGTAGAGTAAAGGAAGGAGTCCTGTATTTATGCTTATGTCAGAATGATGAACAAAAGAGGGTCATCCCTTCTACAGGTGGCAGAGTCACAGGGATGACAAAGAGCAAGAAACTCCCAAGGGAAAGGTGACCTAGTGCTGCCGTCAGGGTTCTCAGTCTTGTTGGACTTCCCACCAGGAGATTCTCCTGGGGAGAGGGGCAGAGAGAGAGAGGGAGACACAGAATCTGAAGCAAGCTCTAGGCCCTGAGCTGTCAGCACAGAGCCCGATGCGGGGCTCGAACTCACCGACCATGAGATCATGACCTGAGCTGAAGTAGGATGCTTCACCGACTGAGCCACCCAGGCACTCTGAGATTCTCCCACTTTTGCCCTCAAGAAGGTTCTTCTGTATTTTATTTTTATTAAATGTGACCATAATTGCCTACAAGTATCCCAGTTCAGTTTAGTCAGTATATGGAAATTACATTCTATACCTAGGCCTATACTAACAGTTGAGAAATACCAGTCAGTTAGTTTAGTAACTTGGAACGTGGCTTGTCAATATGGTTCATCTTTGGGAATAATCCACATTCTCCACAGACCTGTACTTGAATTCCTGTGGCAGTCCTGTGGCCCTGTCATTATGATTTAATCCTGTGGCATAAGTGGGGCAGTGATAATTGGTAGAAGGGCCATGGCTAGTGGTTGGCTATGCAGGCAGTTTTGTCCTTGGCACCAGCAGGTAAGAAGCCACTGTCAGAACACAACGTGGGGCTGCCCGTCAACTTGGTCTGAGGTTCTTTCCTTGTTTATTGCAGTGTTTCTTTTTCGCCGCTTTTCCTAGGTCTGAACTCAGGATATTCAGAAATCTCATCCAAACTTCTGGCAACTCTCTTCTTTTAACACTTTTGACTGATGACTTCATAAAGCCCCAGACAGTGGGGCAGCTTCCAGGCTCTGAGACTTCATTAGTCTCCTTGTCTATTCTGGGCAAGATAAGCAATCCTAGACAAATGGAGAGGCTGTTTGTCTCCAGTGCCGAAGCCTTATGTTTCTCAGGGTGATGTACGTCGCTTACCTTTTTGCTCTTCCTTTCCCAGCTCAAGCTTCTGACCTTGTTCAAATGCCATGTTCTATCTAAGTAATTATTTGAAGTGATGTTGGCATCCCTGTTTAGTTTTGAATTCCTTGTTTTGATTTTCCTCCACTGGATACCATTTATTTTTACCAGGCCATTGATGCGTTTTTGGGTGTCCGTATCTTAAGTGCTTGACAAGTTGAGGACTAAAATATCAGGGGGGAAGAAGGGGGATAACTGAGGGAAGGAGGCAGGCAGTGAGAGGGCTGCAAGAGGCTGGTGCAATATGCATTAGGCCTCCATGAATGAAGTATTTGGTTGTGCATCGGAAATAAGGGGGGAAAAATCCCACAAATTACATGGGGAAAGGACAAAGAAACGGAGATCAGTGGTAGGCCAAATGGGGAAGTCACTGAAATAAGGTCTAGGGAACAATTCTAGTGTTCTCTGCTTGACATAGGTGAGAGGAGAAATTGGGGTGATGGTTTGGGGTTTTTAAGGGAAAAACAAAGACCTTCTTAAAACTGAGGCTATTTCTCGGCCAATCTTTCTGAGCTAACAAGAGATGTCGGAAATGCAGGCCAGAGCCAGCAGCATTTCTTACCTTCCATGGAAGGTACAAATCAAATGCGAAGGTGTGTCTGTGTGCATGTGTCTGTGTAAGGGGCCATAACTGCTTTCAGAATCCCATAGGGGCTCCACGATCCATATGTGGTTAAGAGTTACAGGATTGGAGGGCCTGTATCCCGAGAGCAGCCAAAGCCATGAGGGCAGCGAGAGGAGAAAGCGGGCGAAGGGCCACAGGAAACCAGCGTGGAATGCGGTCTCACAGGGGACCCAATGTGCCACGGCTCTATCGTGCGGTCTGAATGTCAGGCTTTAAATACTGAGACGAGAAGTTAGGATCCCACACTGTAGAATCTGAGGGAGCATTTATCTCCATGTCAAGGAGATAAAAATGAAATCCCAGTTTCACATGCCACAAACCTAATTTTATACTTTTCAGATGAATGTTCTTCAACAAGGTGGTCTTATGGTAGCGTTTTATTTTGGTTTTCTACGCGACCTTGTTCTCACACTAACCTTTTGTTCTACCCAGGACACTTTAAGTCATCACCCAATGAATGTCTTGGCTAGTATCCAGAGGCACGATGAGTAATGATATTTCTGTTTTTATGAAGGCCCTAACACCCGTTTGTGTCCCTGCTAGCAAAACTGCGGAGTTCCTGAGCAGACTGGACACAAAGTCGCCAGATAGAAGTACCTGTCAAAAGGCTCTTCATGACTCACAGTCTTCAACTTGGGTAAGTGGGAGGCCATGCAGGGTTGCTGTCTGGTACTTTATAAAGAGGCATTTGGTGAATGAAGGCTAAGGTCACAGAGTGAGCTGTGTATAATAGATGGCTGGAACTAAAGGCAGATGGACCTGATCTGAAACTTAACTTCAGCTGTTGCTTCCTTGAGCTATAAAACAATGCTTGCACTTGGTTATCTACACTACGGGCACCTGGACTAAACACCACCCTTTGAAAAGCCTTTGATCTCATCCAGTCATCCATCCATTTATCTATCCTCCAAATTTTATGTTTACGTAAGGTTACGTAAGGTCTACCAAGTGCATACAGTTTCTGCCTGGAAGGACTGTAATTTGGGTGGGACAGTTCATTGTATGGGCTGCCATGGGTACTGCAGGATGTGGGCACAACATGCTAGAGGTGTCCCCCAGACATCAAGACATCCAGAAATACCTCACATGGGAAGCCAGCAGAATACCACTGCAGAAATTTGTATGCTGCATTGGAGATCTTGGACCTCATTCTTTGAGTGCTGAAGGCACTAAAAATTTTCAAACAGGGAAGGTTCAAAGTCAGGTTTGTATTTTAGTGGGGTCACACTGGTAACCATGTGAAGGATGGCTCTGAGGGAATGGAGAGGCAGAGAGGCCTCTGAGAGGCTCTGCGTTAGTCCAGGTAAGGAATGATAAAGACATGAAATAGGGCGGTGGATGGGAGGATGGAGATGAGAGCACAGGTCAGAGAACCGTTTAAAAGGTGAGTGGAAAGAGCCTACATGTCCATCAACTGACGGATGGATAAAGTAGATGTGGTTTATGTATACAATGGAATACTACTTGGCAACGAGAAAGAATGAAATCTGGCCATTTGCTGCAACGTGGATGGAACTGGAGGGTATTATGCTAAGTGAAATAAGTCAGTCAGGGAAAGACAGATACCGTATGTTTTCACTCGTATGTGGATCTTGAGAAACTTAACAGAAGACCATGGGGGAGGGGAAGGGGGAAAAAAAAGTTGGAGGGAGGCAAACCATAAGAGACTCTTAAGGACTGAGAACCAACTAAGGGGAGATGGGGGCTGGGGGAGAGGGGAAAGTGGGTGATGGGCATTGAGGAGGGCACCTGTTGGGTGAGCGCTGGGTATTGTATGGAAACCAATTTGACAATAAATTATATTAAAAAAATAAAAGGTGAAGTTGGCAGGGCCTTGGTTATTGACTGGTTAACTGGGGACAACAAAGTAAGTATAATTCAGGATGCCTCTGGAAATGGTTGTAGTTGAAAGAAAGGATGGGTTTGAGTTTTTAAAAGTGTGCGCTTTAGTGACCATGATTTAAAATGTCGAGAAGCTATTATGACACTCCTTGGGATAAGTTCATTGTACTCTTACATACAAATGTTTAAATGTTCCTCCCCCCACCCTCATCCCCCACTTCTAAGGTGGTGCTCCAAAGTCTAAGATTTGCCATGGGTCCTGTCACATCTGTCCTCTGTCCTCTCACTGCAGGGCATGAAAGGACAGACTTGAAAACTGTAGGTAGAGAGCTAAATCCTGTGTAGGGACAGTCCTTGACGTCTGTCCAGATACCCTGTGGCCATGAGGGAGGGAGAGAAGACAGGAATTGGATAACTTTATCAACTGGGTGCTTGGCCGCCAGGATGGTCTTGACCCTGTTTGAAGGCTTCCCGAATCCTACGAAACACCCGGCAGAATTGTGTGTGCCTGGCCTATTGATTTTGGTTTGTTTCTTCAAGTTAACAAGATCATCCTGAATTTTAATATTGTTGTCCATAACATGAGTAATGTCTCCCAGGACTGCATTTTCTGTGGATTGATTAGTGCATTAGTCACAAGATCCTCAGAGCTATTAATAGAAAATACGGAGCAGCATTGGACCCAGGATGATTCTTTATGAACTGCATTCAATAGCTGCTCCCATTTCGACAGCAAACTATTAATAATTTGTTGGTGTTCAATATATTTAAGTGACTTTTTTTTTTTTTTACCAATATTGTACTCTTCTTCTGTCTAATCCATCTGCGCAGAATTCCTCTGAGAGTGCTTTGCAGAACCATTTCTAATGCTTTAGGAATGACACGCCTTTACAGTGCACTTTTGTAACATGGAAGGAAGACACCTGTAGTTTGCCTTAACTGTGGTCAATGTATAGAATGTCAGCGCTGTGTGACCCCCATTTCTTTTTTTTTTTTTTTTTAATTTTTTTTTCAACGTTTTTTATTTATTTCTGGGACAGAGAGAGACAGAGCATGAACGGGGGAGGGGCAGAGAGAGAGGGAGACACAGAATCGGAAACAGGCTCCAGGCTCCGAGCCATCAGCCCAGAGCCCGACGCGGGGCTCGAACTCACGGACCGCGAGATCGTGACCTGGCTGAAGTCGGACGCTCAACCGACTGCGCCACCCAGGCGCCCCATGTGTGACCCCCATTTCTATGGGGGTGTGATAAGCTACAAGCTTTCAAGTTTTTTTAAAAAAAATTTAATTCTCACATAATGTACCTTTTCAGAGAAAGTTGTTCTTATTACATTTATTTACGTGTGGCTCTTCCATGGGCAGTTGGGAATTTAATACATACTCTATAATTACATCGGTGGAAAAGACGACAAGAATATTCCTTTAAGCGATACGTAAGAGAACTTCAGACCAAAGATACTTACAGTGTTTACTTACACATGGGTTGATACAGTTCTCTGTACCGTGTGTGTGCCTGTGAGAAGTGCCAGAAAATATGCCGCCTTCCTCAATCATAATCATTGAATATTTCTGGTTGTACACTAAATGGTTTCCAGTCTGCTTTGTTGCCTCTTGCCGCCTCCTCTACAGCGAATAGTCGTTTAAAAACATCTCATCCGGTTGTTCCACTGCCCGTGGCTCCCTGTATCTTCAAGGATAAAGTCAGAATGCCTTAGCTTGAGCACAGAGCCCTTTCTGCCCTCTGCCTTCCTCCCTTCCCTCACGACTCCTTTCTGTACGTAGAATCTAGGTCTTGGCTACTCTAAGTAGGGTCCATGGACCAGTAGCTTGGGCATCACCTGGGAGCCTAGAGGGGTGTAGATGAAGCTCAGGCGCCACTCCAGTCCTGAACATGAAGCTGAATTTTAACACGGTCTGTGGCGACTTGTGCACACATTAATGTCTGCGGAGCGCTGCTCTATAGCTTGTGCCTTTCCAGCCATTTCCTCTCACTCCTGCTTGGAACTCCCTGTGCGGATGATTTAATTTTTATCCATGTGCCACATGTTTTTTCAAAAAAAGCCAACACTTGAAGGCCTGTGTCCCTTGCACTCCTTTAATCTCACTCCCGCTCCCAGTATTTTAAACCCTCTGTATTAATTTCCCATTGCTTATAAAATAAGGCCTGGGGGTGCGTGGGTGGCTCAGTCGGTTAAGCGTCCGACTTCGGTTCAGGGCATGATCTCGCAGTCCGTGGGTTCGAGCCCCGCGTTGGGCTCTGTGCTGACAGCTCAGAGCCTGGAGCCTGTTTCAGATTCTGTGTCTCCCTCTTTCTCTGACCCTCCCCTGTTCATGCTCTCTCTCTGTCTCAAAAATAAATAAATGTTAAAAAAATTTTTTTTTTTTTAAAAATAAATAAAATAAAATAAGGCCTGGCGATGTAATGCACACAGCCTGTGGCCACAGTTAATAATACCGTACTGCGTATTTGGAAGTTGCTAAGAGAGATCTTAAAAGGTCCGTCACAAGAAAAACACTTTTGTAACTACGTGTGGTGACGAATACTAACTAGACTTATTGCCGTGATCATTTTGCAGCACACATGAACGTTGAATCATTATGTTGTACACCTGAAACTAATATAATGTCATGTCAGTTATGGCTCAATAAAAAAATTTTCCGTCGCTGGTGTAACAAATTGCTAAGGACTTAGTGGCTCAACACAGCACAGATGTATTGTCTTACAGATCTGGAGGTCAGAAGTCAGGAATGAGTATGAAGGGGGTAAAATCAAGGTGTCAGCAAGGCTGGCTTCTTCTGGAGACTCTAGAGAGGAACCTGTCCCTTGCCTCTCCTAGCTCTCCTTGGCTGCGGGCACTCTCGCCCCCCTGGCATGTGGCTGCGTCCAACCTCTGCCCTCCTCCTCATGCCGCCTTCTTCCTGCTCTTTGGCTTTCTTGCCTTCCTCTTACAAGGACCCTTGTGATTCCACCCGGATCATCCAGCGTCCTTTTCCATCTCAGAATCCTCAATTTCTGCAAAGTCACCTTTGCTAGATAAGGTGACATTCACAGCTTCCAGGGATTGCGAAGTGGGCATCTTTGGGGGGCCATTATTCCTCCCACCACACTCGCCTAAGCGGTTTCTTTGTTATGTGGATCCACGTACCTTTCAATGTAGGTATTGCTGTTGCTTGGCTAACCAAGTTCAGATCTTGTTAATTTATCCCTTCCCCTCCATTCCCCTCATTATTCAGTATTTCAGGCTTTCTCTTACTGTAATGACTACATGAATTTTTTTCTCACTGCCAAGCCAGTTAGTATACTTCACAGTTTCTTTCTGTTAGGACTTCTTAAAATTTTTGCTTTAACATTTGCTTGGTTTCGTCTGAACGTTTGACTGGCTTGCTTCAGATTTTGTGACCGTTCCACAAAGTGTCTCTGATGCAGATTTCCATACAGTTTTCTGTTTTGTGTCTGTCAGGTAACTTGTCAGTTTCGGATTTCTTTGCCTTCTGGAAACATCCCTCTTCTGCCTTAACCTGGCTGGTGGTTCATTTGGCCTCCTACACAGCGGTTGTCCTGGGACTTTGCTTTCACAGAATGGTTCTCAACCTCCTCTACACATCGGAATCATCTGGGGGACTTTAAAATTCACTGATGACTGGGTCGTACCCCCAGAGATCCTGCTGTATTGTGGCCTGGGCTTCAGGGCTTTTAAAGCTCCCCCGGTAATTCTAATGTGCAGCCTAGGATGAGAATCATTGTTTTAAAGTCATCTGGGGAATTGTTCTTACTGCTTTCCTGTGTTGGGTCCCCTGATTTCTAGGCCTCCTGTCTTCTATTTTCTTGTTTTATTTCCTTGTTTTGATGGAGCATATTATTTAGTAGCTTCCCAGGAGAAGATGTATGGTCAGGTCATTGCATATCTGAAGGTATCTTTATTCAGCCCACACACTTAGCTTGTAATTTGCTGGTAAGTAATCCAAATTGGGAATCCTTTTCCTTCAGAATTTTGAAGGCCTTTCTATTCTACTTTTGAGTATTTGTTCTTGAGCAATCCAAGGCCTTCTGAATTTCAGTCCTTATATATAAGGGCTTTTCCTTGCTTCCCCTGGAAATATTTTAGTATCTTCTTCTTTTTTCTGGTATTCTGTAATTTCATAATGATATGCCTTGGTATGAGGGTCATTAATATTCATTTTCAGTCTGGAAACTCATTTCTAGTTCTAGGTGATTTTCTTGTGTTATTTCTTTGATTTATTTCTCTTCATTTTCTCTAAGGAATTCTTACTGAAATCCTAGGCCTCCTGGATTTATCTTCATTTTTGTGAAAAAAATTTTTTTTCTCCTTTAATTTATCTCTGACATTTTTTTCTACTTCTTGGCATATTGGGTTAGAAAAAAAAAAAACCCAGTCCTTTCCCCACTGAGTGTCTCCTTTCCTCTCACATGACTACCACATGCACACTTCTGACAACAGATGTGGGGCGACTTGCTTTACCCCGAGTAATTCTGTGACACCAGCTGGGGATCCTACAATTTAATTCAGTTCTGACACTGTCTATCTGGAGGTTCCCAAGGTAAAGGGACCCGCAACCCTGCCCTCCCCTTAAGATGCCAAATTGCACGTAGTAGGTCCCCAGGTTACCCACAACTTCTGTCTAATATGGCTACAAATTGGGGGTTCCCATGACCCCCTCCTGGGTTCCATTAATTTGCTAGAGTGACTCACAGAACTTGGGGAAACTTTTACATTTACCAGTTTACTAGAGGATATGATAAAGGATACAAATGAACAGCAAGATGAAGAGATACCTAGAGCAAGGTCTGGGAGTGTCCTGAATGCAGGCGCTTCTGTCCCTGTGAGTTGGGATATGGTGACCCTCGCAGTGTGAATGTATTCACTTACCTGGAGATTCCCCACCCTCAAGTACTTTTGGGATTTTGTGAAGGCTTCTTCACACAGGCAAGATCAATTACTGACTCCATATCCATCCCCTTTCCCCTCTCTGGAGGATTGGAGGGGATGGTTGGGTCTGGAAATTCCAAGCTTCTAATTGTGGCTTAGTCTTTCTGGTGACCAGTTTCCATTCAGGAGCCCACCCAGTGAGCCTCATTCGAACAAAAGATGCTCCTACTGCCCTGATGGCTTAGGAAATCACAAAAGTTTGAGGAGCTGTGTTCCAGGAACTGGGGTGGAGACGTGTGTGTGTGTGTGTGTGTGTGTGTGTGTGTGTGTGTACATACATGTATATTTTTTTCTGTTTTCTCACACATTTTCTTGAGTATCTCCTAAATATTTTACTGGTCACATTTTTGTGAGGGGAGGGAAGATCTTTTTATTTTCCAAGAACTTTTTTCTCTGTTGCTTCGTAAAAAATAGCAACCTGTTTTTGTTTCATGGATGCAATGTCCCCTTCTAGCTCTCGGAAGGAACCGTGCGGGGAGCAGAAGACGACTTCAGAGAAGGGGGTCCAGAGGCTCACCACTTAGTATGCAGCATTTTATACAGGCCTTTCATTCTCAACCTGGGTTTAACCACTGTGACCTTCTGTGCTAGGTGTGTCCGATTTAGTTTATCCAGAGAATACACTTCTGATTTACTGTCTGGGTTGGGAGAATTAGCGCCTGAATTCTCAGGGTGGGAGCTGGCGTAGGTACTTTCCTATCATCCATCTGTCATACTTGATAGCTGTTACATGCATGTCTTGGGCCCTCATGTTGCTCTGTGGAGAATATTGGCTTCTTGTGGGTATCCTACATCCCTACCAGAACACCTTCTGTTTTGCTCTTTTCCTCTTAGTCACTTACCATTTCTTCATCTACTTTGTCTTCATAGATTTTTGTCTGAGAATACTGTCTCTTGGTTTCTGAACGTAGAGCTTGTTTCATTTTCTCTTCTGTTTAGCATAATTAAAAAATTTTTTAATGTTTATTTTTGAGAAGGGGGGCAGAGAGAGAGGGAGAAACAGAATCTGAAGTAGGTTCCAGGCTCTGAGCTGTCAGCACAGAGACCGACGCAGGGCTTGAACTCACGAACCATGAGATCATGATGACCTGAGCTGAAGTCAGACGCTTAACCGACTGAGCCACCCAGGCGCCCCAAATTTAGCGTAATTTTTGAGAGAAGGATGGTGCAGAAACATTTTTACTCCACCGTCTTGAAGTGAGGACTTAATGTTTTTCAGGGATTGAACTGTGATCTCCCAGGTCATCTCAGAATTCATATGTTGAAGTCCTAACCCTCACTACCTCAGAATGTGACCTTTCTAGGAGATTAGGTCTTTATAGAGGTAATCAACCTCTAATGAGGTCATTAGAAGGGGGCTGTAATCCAACAGGAAAGATGTCTTTATAAAAAGGGGAAATTTGGGATGGACACGCATAGAGGGAAGATGATGTGAAGACACAGGGAGAAGGTGGCCATCTACATGCCAAGGAGAGAGGCTAGACCCTTTCCTCACAGCCCTCAGCAGGAACCAACAGCACAGATACTTTGATTTTGGACTCCAAGCCTCTAGAACTGCGAGACGATAAATTTCTGTTTTTTAAGCCTCCTGGACTGTGGTACTTCACGGCAACCCTTAACAAACTACTGCAATGCTATTTTTCCTTTGTTCACACACTGCCCCTCCCCCTGCTCAGTCTGTTTCCTATTCACTCTTGAAAACACAACTCAGTGTCACCCACTTTGAGGAGGTGTTCTTGATCGCATTTAATTAAATGTCCTTTTTAGCTTCTTCTGTCATAATACCCTTCACGCTGTGTTTCAATCCTCAGTCCTCGCATCAGCCTTCCACACTAGGCTATTAGTGACTTGCTGTCTGAGAGATCGTGTCTTATGACAGTGCCTACATATAGAGGCTTAAATGTTACTTGTTGACTGGACGTTTTATAAGCATAGCTTTTGGGGTAAAGCAAGTAAAAACGTGTATTTTAATTGAATAACAAAAATTTAGTATTAGTATTATACTAATACTTAGTGGTAGTGAATACAATGTTTTCAGTACAGTAATACTTCGTGTAGGTGAACACAATGACAGAAATTTCTGGGATTTAGAACTGAGAAAAATAGTGATCAAAGGTTTTTTTCCTCCCTGTTATTTTTGAACAGAAACTTCCTGTCCTGCCTGGGAATCCTACCTCGGTAAGCCTTAAGATAGCAAGTAACTTTGAACTCTTCATAGTTGATGTGCCATGTGACTGCCCTTTTAAATGACATTTTGTGTCTAATCCCTCCTTTTTTTCTTCTGAGTCAAAACCTAGCACCCATATTCTGATAAAAGACCAATTAAGTGGTTAAGTTTTTTGTTTTTAATTTTTTCATTCATTTCGTTTATTCATTTTTGAGAGACAGAGGGCGAGCAGGGGAGGGTCAGAGAAAGAGGGAGACACAGAATCCGAAGCAGGCTCCAGGCTCCCAGCTGTCAGCACAGAGCCTGACACAGGGCTCGAACCCGCGAACTGTGAGATCATGACCTGAGCAGAAATCAGATGCTCAACTGACTGAGCCACCCAGGGGTCCCTAAGTGGTTAAGTTTAAAAGGAAGGTATGCAAATAGAATTTAGGTTCTCCCTTAAGGCATCACATCTGCTTTCACCAAGTATTTTACTACTGCTTTTAATCTCTTGAGCAGAAGTTGTGTCCCCTGGTCCATTTTCCTCTTTGAGGTCGTATATGGAGTATTTGTGGCAAAGACTAGCTCTCTCTAGTGTAAAACGAAGAGGTCACTGGAGAACCACTCTCCGCTTTCAGTGTCTTATCACAGTCCTCCTGTGCTTAGGACTTAGATGAGAGAAAATCCGAGGATATGTTTGTCTGTCCCATGAAGCAGGGTTTGAATATGTGAGGACTTTCTGAACACAGCTGGAGTTCCAACATTCCAGTTGGTAGTGCTGTAGATGATCCCGTTCCGAAAGCCTCCCCACTTTCTGGCAAGTGCCTATTATTTGATGGAATATGGGTTTTTACAGTGACATAAATGGGGGAATGAATTAAGAAGTGCTTGAGAAAAATTATAGTAAGGAAGAAGGCGGGAACCAGCCTTCATAAGCTTTATGGATTATTAGTGTGAAGAACTAGGCCTGAAATACGTGGTCTGCTGCCATGATGCCTGCTGGTAGTTTTATGACAACAGTGGAATTTCCTACGTATTAGCTTATCAGGCTGCCCGCAGAGGGTGGGCTACAAATCACTGTGAGCAGAGAAAGCATATGACAAATGAACAGACAAACTACTTGGAATCTCATAAATTCCAGAATGCATGGTCACTTTGCCAGTGTGTGAAACCCCGCCATGGTGGGTCAGTGGGGCTGAAGGACACCTTACTGCGTGTACTGGTCCTCCTAAGACCGCCCCTTGAGACTCTAATTCAGCCAGAAGTAATGACTCCTGTGTTCCTGAACAGCCTTTGTTTTTCTTCTCAGAAATAAAAATAAGCTTCAGGTACTGCTTAGGGAGGCACGGACTTGGAAAGAAATGCATCTCTGGAATTCTATGGTATCAGTCACCAGTTGACAAGCTATTTAATAGGGTACCATTAATGAGCAGTAGGCATGTCATTGCTTCTAAAGTCACTGTCTCTATTGCTTATCTCTGATATTAACTGATCAGCTACTTGGAATATATATATATTATATATATATATAATATATATATAATATATATGTGTATAATATATATAATATATATATTATACACATATATATTATACACACAGACGCACACACAGACACACACGTACACACACACACACACACACACACACACACACACACACAGAAGAATATAGCTTTGCTGGGCAAGGCCCACCTTCCAGAATCTACACGTGTGAGGCATTGTTTGAGTTCTCTGTATGTTGGATGCAACAGCATTTTAGCTGAGCAGCAAAGCAGTACGAAGGGCTGAAGGAAGGACGTTCCAGGCAAGGATGAGGAACAGTGGATTTGGGGCTTCAGCGTCAGATAAATAGGAGTTTTAGATCCATCTTCGCCTCATGATCTTGTCAGTTATTTCACGTATCCAAGTCCATTTCCTTATTCACCACATGAGGATAATATCTACTTCATAGAATTTAAAGGTTAAATAAAATAATAGAAATAAAATGCCTGGCAGTTTAATGCATTGACACTGCCGTAAGTGATGTAAAGTCTCCTCTTCCTTGGTTAGCTTATTCTGAGTCCAGTTGGATCTCTGTGCTCTCTCCTTACCAGAGTCTAGTTAGAATTGTTGCCAGTTAGCTGGAATATCCTTGAAAAACATATTTAACTTTCCTCTGTTTCAATCCTTATCACTAGAAGAATAAACCATGTTGATTATCTCTGAGGGGACATTTTTTTTAAGCTTAATTAAACAAACATTTAGATCATCCTTTAAAATGTGCTGGATGATTATGCTTATACTAGCCTTCTTTTTATATATCCCCAGGGACATCTTCAGACGATATGCATAAATCACCCAGTAAGCAAGTGTGTATGGAGAGCTTAGTGTATGCTTAGTACAGAGGTTGAGTTATTAGAACCAGTCCCATGGTAGGGAGACTAGTAAATTGTGGTGGTGATGTTTTTTCCTATGGTTTTTTTTCCTATACATTCACAGGCCAGAAGCTGGGCTTACAAGGATTCTCTAAAGGAAGAAGAAAATAAGAAATTGCAAAAGATGAAGGAGGAACAACGTCAGAAGGTAGTCACAAGACCTTATTGGTCACTGCTAATTGTTTGCTTGTAGTACTAGATAATTTTTAAGGTTTTCTGAACAGAAATACTTACATATATGAAAATTGTGAAAAAAACCCATTAAATATAAAAGGTGAGATTTTGGTGTGTTTTAAGAGTATGGTGGGGTGTGGTCAAAACTTTGGGTCAAAACTCTCATGACACTTAGCCTCATGGGGTTTGCCATCTAGTATGTGTGCTGGAGGGAGCCCAGCAGTTTGCAGAGAAGATCTGATTTGCAAAATGTAATCACTGTCACTGCCATTTTTTCAAACCAAAGATGTATGAAATTACAAATCATGTCCAGAGAATAATGAATAATAGATATCCATACAAAGTTATGAAACTGGCTTAAATGTTCACCTAAAAATACACCTGTTATACAACAAAAGATACTCCACACATATATACGAATTTGTGAGGTATTCCAGATTATTTTGAGCAACAGAAATCAGGGAAATGAAGGCAGAGCTTCATAAGAAGAGCGCTTAAAGGGTAATTCTCGTTAGAATCTAAAACTTCTGGTATGTTGACTGAAAACATTCAATGTTGTGACTTGATGGTCATACCTGCCTTTCCTACATCTGCTCAGATGGGGCCAGTGGCTCCTCAGCAAGGGATCAGATGATGATCAGTGGTTAGCTCCAAGGTACCACCTCATTCCAGATCCTTTAAAGAAGCAAAATAGACTACTCAGCTAGTTGGACACCATTACCTTCCCCATCATTATTTTCCAATTTGCCATATTGGTGGCTGATAAATCCTGTCCTTTTGTCCAGAATCTCTCTCAAAGCCATTGCTTCATTTGTACAATTAACTTGACTTCTAACTCCCATTTGATTTCCTTGATTCAGTTCAAATTATTTTCCTTATGCCTTTGCTGCACAACATAATTTATTATAGCAATTGTGTGTAAAATCGTTTTATGAAATAGGCTGTATGTATCGTCACTGCTATAATTTGACCCTTCTAAGTGCTACCCTCCTTCCAACAGTGGTCCCTCCTTCCTTGTTTGTTGTTTCTGCCAGCATGCAGTCTAAATGACTGTGTCACTCAACTGCTTTGTGCATAGGAGGTAATAATTAAATTATTGAAGGAAATAATGTAAGTTGTGTATTTAGTTATTAAGTTACTATGTAAAAAAGGAAGAAACCAGAAAACGTTTTTATTCCTTGGTGTTTTTTTAATATCTTTGTTTTGACAAAGACCTCATAATGAAAGCACAATTAACTAATATTATAGTAACAGTCAGCAGTAATTAGCACATAGAAGCTAAGTCTGGTATATACTCGTGGTGTATTTTCAATAATGTCTGTCAAGGGATATGTAAATGTTAGTCTGTTTCTGTGACCTTTGAAGTCAATATCAAGTCCTGAGGTGTTTAGATACTGAGGAGAATGTTGTGAAGTCAGCGTAGGATATGATTTATATAAAAATAACTTCTAGTGAATTTTAAATAGTACTTTATAAAGTTTGGGGGCATATTTGGAACGTGAAAACCATTAAAAGTAGAACATTTCACAAAGAGAATGCTCAACAGATTAGAAAATCAGATCTGGGATTTAATTTTCAGGTTGAGCAGTTATTTTAAACAGTGAGAATTAAGCTTTTTATTTCTTAATCTTGTTTTTCTTCTAGAGTTAGACAAATATTGATACATACATATTTTCTGGTTATTGACTGAGCGTATGTTTCTTTTGCATAAATTATTTCCCTTTACTTACTGTAGCTTTCAGTAAAATGAATAACGTTGACATACACATAATTCCATCATTAGAGTTTTCAGTATCAGTAAAATATATGAGGGTATTTACCTTATTTTTATTTCTCTTCTTTTTTCCACTCTATTATTTACATGTCCACAGAAGGGCATTTCTTGATTGGTAGAGTCTCATTCCGTATCACTTCAATGATTTAGCTTAAAAAAATAAGGATCATGTTTATGGTAAGAAGATACAGGAAAAAAAAAACATGTATAACATCACATCTATTCATGTGTGTGTTCTTTTCATTCATTCAACAAATATTTAGTGAATTCCCGCTATGAAGTGAGTCATCAGCAAATAATCTAGGTTAGGTTGAGATGATAGCACATTTATTTTGTTCTGTGTCTCTTTCATATTCTTTCATTACTCTGGGAACAGTAGGTTCTTCCTTAAGGTTACCCTTTCAGTATTTTACATTTGATTCAGTTTCTTCTAGAAATTTTTTTATAATTCCCCTTTCCCCCTATACACTCAATATGTTCTTCTCTTTTCACTACTTTGTGTGTGTGTGTGTGTGTGTGTGTGTGTGTGTGTATGTGAACAGTTACACTTACTCTTGCCTTTCTAAAATAACCCCTTCCTTGATTCTGCTATCCTCAGAGATACTATCTTTTCTGTTTCTACCAGAAAAAAAAAAAGACAAAGACAAAGGTATGTTCCACATATTTATTAGCCATTTTGCCCTTTGTTCCTTATGTTCTGGTTTATATTTAGCAATGATCATACTGAAACTGCTCTCCAAAGGTAAATCCCTTCTGACCATTCAATTCAGTGGTCTTTTGCAATCCCTGTCTCTCTCTCTAACTCTGTAACAGTATTTAATACCACTTTAAAGCTTTCCTTTTCTGGTTTTTTTTTCACTCTATTACTCTGGTGGATCTACCTCAGAGTAATCTATCCCAGTATTCAGCCAGCCAGCCAATCAACAAACATGTATTGAGCTCCTATTATATTTGGAGTCTTTTGTAAGGTGCTAGAGCAGGATAGACCAGAACCCTAACCTCCCAAAGTTTACTTTTTAATGGAGGAGATAGACAATTAAAAGGAGACAGAGAAATAAAACACTATATTTTTAAATTTATAGTGATCAATCACTTTGTAGTAATTAATGCTGTGAAGGGATAAATTGTGTGTTGTGATAACTTCAGGGTGATGTATTGAATGCTATCGATTGCCTGCCTTTCTCTTAAAACACTGATTTTTTTTTTCCTCAGTATACATTTTACTTGGCATGGGCCATGTTTCAGAGAAGGCAGGCACTTCCCGGTTCCAAGGATCCAATCCCAAAGGGTCTAACTGCTCCTGGGAGTTCCATTCTCCTCAACGTGATTCGTTCAGTTATGGACATAGGAAATAGTTCCAACCAATGAGGCTTACAGGAAACCTGTCATTTAGTTCAGATTTTTATCAATATGAAATGGACTAGTCTTCCTTTTCGGTGATTTTCAGCTTTATTTCTTTTTCTGTCTTTTTATTTTGTCCGATTCTACTATTTTCTCTGCTAGCTTTTTTGTTAGAATTTGGCGATATCTTTTTCTATCACTTAATTTGAACCTCTCTGTGTCATTTGGTTTAAATTATATTTCTAGTGATAAAAAGTGGCTGATTTTCTTTTTACCCAGTATCATAGTCTCTTTTAATTTAGTATATTCTCATTTATTGTGATTACTAGTGCTTTTGCACATATTCTTGGTACATAATTTACTTTGTAGCTATATTTTCTTGTTTTCTGTTCTTTATTTTTTTTTTTTTTTTGACTCTTTGAATTTCCTCTGTTCCATTTATTTACCTTTCCTCTTTTCTCTCCTCTCCTCCTTCCTTTCCCCTGGCTCCCTTCCCCAGTAGTAAGAAATTTCAGTGTTTTTATTAATTTTTACTTTCTATAATTTATTTATTTTTTATAATTTACATCCAAGTTAGTTAGCACATGGTGCAACAATGATTTCAGGAGTAGATTCCTTAAGCCCATTACCCATTTAGCCCACTCCCCCCCCCACACAACCCCTCCAGCAACCCTCTGTTTGTTCTCTAAGAGTCTCTTATCTTTTGTCTTCCTCCCTGTTTTTATATTATTTTTGCTTCCCTTCCCTTATGTTCATCTGTTTTGTATCTTAAAGTCCTCATATGAGTGAAGTCATATGATATTTGTCCTTTTCTGACTAATTTCTCTTAGCATAATACCTTCTAGTTCCATCCACGTAGTTGCAAATGGCAAGATTTCATTCTTTTGGATTGCCAAGTAATACTACACACACACACACACACACACACACACACACACACATAGACATACCACATCTTCTTTATCCATTCATACATTGATGGATATTTGGGCTCTTTCCATACCTTGGCTATTGTTGATATTTCTGCTATAAACATTGGGGTGTATGTGCCCCTTCGAAACAGCATACCTGTATCCCTTGGATAAATACCTTGTAGTGCAATTGCTGGGTCATAGGGTGGTTCTATTTTTAATTTTTTGAGGAAACTCCATACTGTTTTCCAGAGTGGCTGCACCAGCTTGCATTGCCACCAGCAGTGCAAAAGAGATCCTCTTTTTCCGCATCCTCCCCAACATCTGTTGTTGCCTGACTTGTTAATGTTAGCCGTTCTGACAGGTGTTAGGTGGTATCTCATTGTGGTTTTGATTTGTATTTCCCTGATGATGAGTGATGTGGAGCATTTTTTTCATGTATCGGTTGGCCATCTGGATGTCTTCTTTGGAGAAGTGTCTATTCATGTCTTTTGCCCATTTCTTCCCTGGATTGTTTGTTTTTTGGGTGTTGAGTTTCATAACTTCTCTATAGATTTTGGATACTAACCCTTTATCTGATATGTCCTTTGCAAATATCTTCTCCCATTCTGTCAGTTGCCTTTTAGTTTTGCTGATTGCTTCCTTGGCTTTGTGGAAGCTTTTTATTTTGATGAGGTCCCAGTAGTTCATTTTTGTTTTGGTTCCCCTTACCTCTGGAGACATATTGAATAAGAAGTTGCTGCAGCCAGGGTCAAAGAGGTTTTTGCCTGGTTTCTCCTCGAGGATTTTGATGGATTCCTGTCTTACATTTAGGTCTTTCATCCATTTTGAGTTTATTTTTGTGTATGGTGTAAGAAAGTGGCCCAGGTTCATTCTTCTATGTCTCTGTCCAGTTTTCCCAGCACCACTTGCTGAAGAGACTGTCTTTATTCCATTGGATATTCTTTC